TATTATGAAATATTTCGCTGGAACACGTGAGGGGACCTTCGCTCACTGGTAAACAATGCCAGACTGGCTGCCGCCCCGGCTCACGCAGTGGGTACGCGTCCCGGACGAACTACGACTCACGAGTCAACCTATGAAACGCGAGTCCATGTTTTATGAAAATACCCCTGTGATTGGCGAATTTTACGATTGCCAGGAACTACGAAAAGCGGGGGACCACTGTACTTGAATACTATTTGTCTGATGACTGACAAACTTTTAAAATTCACCATATGGTGGTTTCTTGTTGGTCTTCAACTTGTACATGTTATAAGCATTCAGCATGGAAATGTCAAGAAGATTTGAAAAAAAAGTCTTATGTACCACTTAAAACTCCTGCGAACACAATCAGCTAACCCAATCAGCATGTCACATTTGTCCACTAAGCACATATTGAGGTTGCAGTCCATCCCAGATGCAGGTTTTACAATGGGTTCATTGGTCTCTCTATTCTGCCTGCCAGTGTCTGTCATTTCATTTCGGTGAACTCGTGTCAACAATGTGACATCATGTTTATCATGACACTGAAATGTCACGATGTCACTGGCAGCAAACACCTGCACCTCATCTCTACGAGTGCCTGAGTGGAACTTAGGCATATGCTTACAATTTCCATGCACTGTGCTACACACATCCATCATGTTCACTCGCAATAAATCACTGAGTAAGGGGGCTTGTGTCCCAGTTATCAGTATATAATATATGCCCCTTACCAAGATGTGCTTCCATCATTGTTCTAACCACATCACCAAAAATACCCAATAACTTCATGGTATCTCTCAATGTATTACTACCAGTGTACACAATTATATCCAAAACCAGACCATGTTTGCAATCACATAGTACAAATAACTTTATGCCAAAGTGTTTCCTCTTGCTTGGTATATACTGCTTGAATGACAGTCTGCCTTTCAACAAAATCGAAGACTCATCAATAACAAGCTTCCTGAAGGGATAAAAATACATACAGCACTTTTGCTTCAGGTACAGTAGACCGTTATTTAACACGGTAGTTACGTTCCTGAAAACACCGTGTTAGGTAAAACCGTGTAAGATCAACTAAGAACTTATGGGAAAAATAGGGTTACGTTCCTAAGAGTCCCAAAAAAAACAAAACTTTTTTTTAAGCCTCCACATCTTACAAAAATAAAAGCGAATATGTAATTGCAGTTCATTGTTGTGATGTATTATGTTGTTTTTACTGTTTAACCCTTTCAGGGTCCCCAGGTCCTCTCCGAGACTTGTTCTCAGGGTCCCCAAATTTAAAAAAAAAAAAAAATTCTTATGAAAAGATAGAATCTTTCCCTGATCATAATGACATCAAAAGAATGAAATTTGATGGAAAACTTACAGAATTATGCTGTCGCGAAGTTAGAGGTCTCGCCGATGTTTACGCATCGGCGATTTTGCCCAATTTGAGCCCTATTTTTGGCCAATTCCATATCATAACTATTTTGCTAGAACTCCATTTTTTCTATCGAATGAGTACAAGAAACCATCCATTTACCGATTTCAACTATCCAATAAAGTGGTCAGAATTTAGCAATTTCGCCAATTTCACACAAATTTCAAAAGATGCCAGTTTCCGAACAGGGTCCAGAATAAACAAGAAAGACATTCCTGGCACTAAAATAACAAGTTCTCTGTTCGTTAGTCACATCCCCAGGCCCCTCTTATATTTCTTTGGCTTTCCACTTTGAATTTTGTTTCTTACAAAACATAGAAGACTTACTGTTATGCAGACTACTGCATTGGTGTAGAAATGATATAAATATTATCAGCGCACTTGTGAAAGAATATCAAACTCACCAGTTGATGTGTATTAGACACTTGGCATGATTTGTTTACTTTTGAAATTTGGTAAAAATCGAACATTTCTGCTACTTTGAGCTCAATTTCAAGGTACTTTTCTTTGTAAAACCAGTCAAAATCATCTCAATTTCTGTAATATGTCTTCCATTCTATGAAATGAGACCAGGAAAACTAGAATACAACAATAAATACCATACGAAAATACAGTGCAAAGTCGCTGTTTTAATCCAAAAATATGGTCAAAGTTTTTTTTTTCTTCATTACGCACTATGTGCTGCAGGATTTTTTTATACTGTGCACACTGACCACATAGACCCATTCTTTCATATGTAGGCCCACCAGCTTTCTTTCACTAGATTTGAGGGAGCTAGAATTTAGGCGTACTAGTACGTCAAAAACCCTGGGGCATAAGCCGTACTAGTATGGCCGAAACCCTGAAAGGGTTAAGACTACAAATGTAACAGAAATAATAGTATTTACCTTAAATTGTGGGTGCTGGTGTTTGTGGATGACTGTGAAGAGTGGAGAGTCATGCTGTGGCCCGACTGGTGTGAGGTGGATGGTAGAGGTTCTGGTACTGAATTTGATGGTTGTACTGATGTGTCTAACTTTGTCATTCAGCCAATCAAGACATTCAGTAAGTCAGTCAAGTGATTCAGTAAATCAGTCAAGTCGTTCAGTAAGTCAGTCAAGTCATTCAGTAAGTCAGTCAAGTCATTCAGTAAGCCAGTCAAGTCATTCAGTAAGCCAGTCAAGTCATTCAGTAAGCCAGTCAAGTCATTCAGTAAGTCAGTCAAGTCGTTCAGTAAGTCAGTCAAGTCATTCAGTAAGTCAGTCAAGTCATTCAGTAAGCCAGTCAAGTCATTCAGTAAGCCAGTCAAGTCATTCAGTAAGCCAGTCAAGTCATTCAGTAAGTCAGTCAAGTCATTCAGTAAGTCAGTCAAGTCATTCAGTAAGTCAGTCAAGTCATTCAGTAAGTCAGTCAAATCATTCAATAAGTCAGTCAAATCATTCATTAAGTCAATCAAGTCATTCAATAAGTCAGTCAAATCATTCAATAAGTCAGTCAAATCATTCAATAAGTCAGTCAAGTCATTCAGTAAGTCAACCAATTCATTCAGTAAGTCAGTCAAGTTATTCAGTCAGTTAATTCATTCAGTCAAGTCATTCAGTTAGCCAGTCAAATCATTCAGCAAGTCAGTCAAGTCACTCAGTTAGTCAGTCAGTCATTCAGTAAGCAGTCAGTCAATCACTAAGTCAGTCACACAAACTTATGTTTACCTTTTTTTCTATGTACGAAGTAACACTTCATTATGGCCACAGGATGTCTTGTCTAATATTTTTGTTTACTTCGTTAATTCTAAGACGGAAATGTTTACACCTTCTCTTGCCACTTTGAGCAACACTGGTATGCTTACTGGGTGTCATGATTGCTTGGTAGACATAAGGTATAGCAATTAAAAGATCGAAACACAATTCACAATCCCAAGCTTGTAGCAGAGAAGTTGGACTGGACACGTATGAAGTACGAATGCTGGGATGGTGGGGTGGTGTCGGGGGGGTGGCTGGAGATGGCAGGAGGTCTCCCCAGCTGAACCGCAACAAGGCAGCCGCTTGAGGAAAAGGGAAGTTTTTTTTTACCTTCCCGCAAAGTGAACCATGTTAAATTCATCATATGACGTGCTACATAAAATTCTGCCGCAATTCTTCAATCGTGCTATACTCAAATCGTGCCAAATGAACTCGTGCTAAATAACGGTCTACTGTACATGAACACATTCCTGATCTTATATAACCTGTCATTTCTGTCAGAAGTTGTCTTGTCTGAGAAGTGTAGCATACATAACAGCAGAAATCTATTCACTGGTATAATATCACTAAAACCTGGGGTTGAAATCAGGCATTCCGTCGGCCAGTATGATGTGACAGTGTGCTTATACACATGTGGCATAAGCATTACTGTGGCAAAGAACAGATACATCTCTGCCACAGTTGTGTCCTTCCAATTGTGTAGCTATGATCTTGGTGAAACAATTATATGTGTTACTTTGCCTGACAATAATGTCCCTCTGGGGTTCATCGAAGAATAACTGAAAGCATTCCAGTTCAGGGGTATTGTTCCCAAGTGTACACGATGGCCGCATTCCACTTTGCGTTTCATCAAAGTGATGGAGATTGAGAACAATTCCAGATGCGATCTGCTGGTTGGTGCTGGATATTGAAAGGTGGTTGTGGAGGTTGTGGGAGTGTGGGGGTAGTTGAGGCTGGTTGTGGCTGTGATGAGTTAGCAGCGTGGGTAGCAGCGTGGCCCACTGCTGGTGCCATGTGACTCATGCCACCGCCAACACTACCACCACCTGCTGCCCTACGCACATTACCATCCTCATTGTAACAATGTCATCGTCATCTTCACTTTCACGTCGTGGTGTAGGGCCATGGGATGTACTCTGAGATTTACTAGTTTTCCTTGGAATGGCATATGACACACTACCAAAATGCATGCTGCGTCGTACATACTGCCGCTTCACTGGAGAATATTCCCCCTCATTGCCGCAACTCGAGCAGTTTTTCAATAACTTGGAAATCATTATCACTCACTTTCACTGCTCACATCCGAGTCCTGTACACGGGGAAATAGTTTCTTTTTTCGTCCTGGTACAGGTGAATGTGAATGAGACGGCCTAACACCAGAGGTGGAAGGTTGTGGGTCATCTATGTTTTCATCACTAATTACGTTATCCTGGGCACTGCTTTCGATCACACCCTCCTGAAAACCATGAAATTCACTTTCACTGGCACTTCCATTGCTTTTAGAACTATCACTTGGGAACAGAAGACCTAAAATTCAGCAAGGAGTAAGGTACTTCTTACCACGAGGCATCGTGAACAAGGACTACTAAGATGGCGTTCCCACAATGCACCACTGAGTCTTTGAATATTTTCATAGTGCACACACCCATCACGCAGACCCATTCTCTCACATATAGGCCTACCAGCTTTCTCCCGCTTGATTTGAAGCTACTAGAATTTACATGTATTAATACATCAGAAACCTTGGCTCGTAAGACGTACATGTATTATACGGCCAAAACAGTAAAAGGGTTAAATACACATTTAAAACTTGCAAAACCAAAAAACCATGATGTACAAACCTGAACATCCCTGGAACAAAACCAGTGAACAGTCTGTTCATTAGAGAAGCATTTTTGATGGTTTCAGTGAAGACTGAATATGGCATGTCTATCATCTTGACGACCAAGAGTGTGCCTCCCGTCTGGCCCAACACAAACACTGCATCTGCAGCCTCCCTGCTCATAAGGTGAGTCCCAGCAGTGTGAGGTAGACCCTCACCTGAAATTATACAATGTTCAATATGTAAGTAAATAATTTTTCATCACATAGTTCAATAAGAGAACCCCCATTATCATGTACCTCTGGCATTCTAAACATACCTACTATGATACAACAGTTCCTTCCACTCTAGTACTTTGGTCCCCCCCAAACAATTATTTTCTCACTTGGTCCAAAACTCCCGAAACAATGGTTTTAAATTTTTTTTTTAAAACCCAAAAATTTCCCCCCTTTTATTCCCCTTCACACTCAACTCCAGGGGGAAAAAACACTTATTAAACCCCAATTTTTTTACACCCAATCTTACTCCAATTTTACAAAATTTTCTTTGTTTTAAAATTGTCCCCCTTTTATTTCCTTTTTTCCATAGAGATAATTTAAAACTATTTTTACTTTTTTTAAACCATTAGTTCACTCAGATACTTTCCCAATTTTTTTCCTTTTACCCCTCCACATTGAAATTCCCCCCATCACTCAATTTTAAATTTCACTCAGTGCTAGGCCCCCCCACCCCTTCTTAAAATTTCAAACCTAAACGTTTTTTCTTCCCCTTTCTTTTACAACACCTCCTCCTGCACTTTTCAAACAACCCAACTTCAGATGTCCTTTTTCTTTTCAGTAATTAATACAAGAAAAGGGGTTTAACCCAGCATCTTATATTTAGTAACAAGGGTTTACCCCTCGGCCAATTTTTTTTCCCAAAGGGTCTTAATTTTTGTGGTTATCTGGGGGGAAAAAAAACCACTTGAAAGATGTTCAATTTTGAAAGTATAAAAGAACCCCCCCTTTTTCTTTGTATAAAATTTAAATTTAAATTTTTTTATAAAGGCTGAATCATTTTTTTTGTAAGGGCAGTCTTATTTGTTTATTTTCTTTTTTTTTTTAATCTCAACACCCCTTTTTCTGTCAAGGGGAGTGACCTAAAGACACACTTTCCCTTATTCATTTAGTCGCGGTTTGCCAGAAGTGTGCGGGGTTTATCATAGCTCAGATTACCCTGCAATTTGCAAATCCTCCCCCCTCCTTCAAGTGCAGGCACAGGGGCATCCCCCCAACCATACACATTTGTTTAACTGTTACAGCGAAGTTACAAATATTTTACTTATAAAGGGTTCCCCCAATTGTGAGATCTGTGGAAATTCTGAAAGAAAAAAGGTTTTTTCTGTTTTAGTGACAAGATAGAGGAACATTAAGAAATTGTAGTTTGAATTTTGTTTTTAGTTCAAGAGTGAATTTTTAAAAGTTGAGTTTTTAATTTGTTTAAATTATAAAAAAGAAAACCTTGGTTTTGTTTGGTTTTTTTTGGGATATATTACTAGAAAGTCCTCACCCCATGTTTTGGGAATTTAGCTAATAATGCCTTTCCCTGAGGGGAGAGAGGAGAAAAAAGTGGGGAATCCTTCCCCCCAAGTGTAAAAAACAGAAAAAAGATTTTACCAAGAGGGCACCAGCAAGTGTAACTCGCACAGAAACTAAGGGGGGAAACGTATGAACTTGGGGCAAAAAAAATAAAATGATCTACGGGGGAAACTAATATTCATGACAACCACTTTAAGGAAGCTCCTTAATTTTTTTAACGTGTCCCCAAAATACTAGTACACATGCGATAAAATGTACAATGGACCCTGGGTTTTTGGCATTAATCTGTTCCCCCGGGGAGCTGTTTTATAAAACCCAAATTTTTTTTTTATACGAAATTTAATTTTTTTCCCCCTAAAAAAAAATACATGTTATGGAATTTTAATTTAAACCATTTCAGACACCCCAAAAATATTAACAAAAAAAAATTTTTTTTTAAAGATTAACCCCTTCCCGGGGTAAGGGGGAAAATTTTTGAAATTTGGGGCCCCGTGTCCAGGAAATTTTTAAAAAAAAAAAAAAAAATTTTTTAAATTTTTTTTATGAAAAATTTTGAGAATCTTTTTGTTAAGGTTTAAAAAAAACAAAAAGTACGAAAATTTGGGAAAAATTGGGCCAAATTAAAGTTCTTTTTGAAAAATTTTTTTTGGGGTCGGGATATTTTTTCGATCGGCGATTTTGCCCGACTTTTACTCCCCTTTTTTTTGGCCCCAAATTTTCATTATTCCCGTCAACCCAAAATTTTTACTATTTCACTAGTAATTTTCTTCTATTCTATCGTTTTTAGCAAAAAAGAAAATCGCCAAGTCAACTGTTTTCAAAAAACAAATTGAATTTATCGGGAAAATTTTTTAAATTTTTGGGCCCAAATTTAACCCCAAAGTTTTAAAATATTTTCCCAAATTTTAAAAAAGGGTCCCCAAAAAAAAGCAATTTTAGGTTTTTAAACTAAACTAAAAATTTCCTCTTTTCATTTGGTTTTGTTTTGAGGCTTTTTTAAAAAAATTCCAAATTTTTGATTTTTTATTCACATAAAAGAATTTTTTTTCACACCAAAAAATAAAAAAATTTAATGTTATGCAATTTTTGTAAAAATTGTTTTAATTTTTCATCACCATAAATTGTGAAAAGCATATTAGACCCCCCAGCTGGCGTGTATTTGAGTGTGAGGTCGTTTTTTTTACCTTGAAAATCGGCAAAAAAATTTTAAAATTTCGCCCACTTTGACTCCAAATTTCAAGCCCCTTTCCCGTGCTAAAAAAAAACCAAAACAAAAAACATCTCTTTCTGTAATTTTGTCTTCCATTTACAAAAGAGACCAAGAAATTTGCAAAACAAAATAAAAAAACATACGAAAAAAAAATGCAAAGTCGCTGGGTTTTTAAACGAAAAAAAAAATGATTTCAGTTTTTTTTTTTTTCTTTAATTAAAAAAGTGTTTCTGCAGGATCTGTTTTTTGTGGTGGGACACATACCACATTGAATGTATTCCTTTTTAAAAAGGCCCCAAAAAGGGACCACTCCGTTTTTTCGAGTGAGCTGACTCATGACGTAGAAACTACGGTTTTGGGCCCTGAAAAGTTTTTAAAACCGTAGATCTACGGGAACAGAATGAAATGTTAAATATAAATATACAAAAACCCCGGGAAAAAAATGACAAATAAATATAAACAAATAAAAAAAATGGATTAAAAAGAATATTTAACATACCCCAAATTACCTTTATGAAATTTATGTTTGGTGTATGGAAAATCAGGTTTGGAAACGAAGGGAAAGGGGAGTTTATTTTAAAACCCTTCCCAAAATGAAGCTTTTAAAAATCCCTCTTTTTAAAGGTTTTTTTATTATCCAAATTCCCTTTTAATATGACATAAAAAAACAATATCAAAAAACATAGAAAAATTTTATTTCTCTAGAATGAATTTAAAAAATTTTCAATGTGTGGGAATAAGTGGGGGGAGGCGGGAGCAAAAAGCCACTAAATTAAAAATTTCCCCCTTAAAAAAAATTTAATATTAATTTTTTTAAAAAAGAAATATTTACATTTTAATTTTTAAATAAGGGAAGGTTTTTTCAGGTATAAAACAAAAACTTTTTTACATAGATTTTTATACACTGCAGCATATGTGTAAAGTACCTAAGATAACCCAAAAAAGTCAGAGTGACTTATTTCCACTAGAGTCCTTTTATATTTACACTTACATTTATTTTTAAGAGAAACTTTTGTTTTTCTTTTTGGGCCACCCTGCCTTGGTGGGATATGGCCAGTTTGTTGAAAAAAAAAAATTACTTTTATACTTACACTTTTATATTTACACTTACCTTGGAGGAGATGTTAGTTTAATTAGTTAGTTTGACGGAGGAGATGCTGGCAGAGGTTTAGGGTGGTGGAAGATAGTAGGGTGGCATATGTTCACTGGCCCTATACACATCCAACAACATTGGAGAGCTACTTTCATGTCGTTTTTCTATCACTTACTCGTTTAACTTACATGCTACACTGTAAAGTCTACACTTTATCGCTGGTTGGCACTATAGCCTTTATCAATACCTGCTGCTTTAGTATCACACATATCGTAGAATCACTGAATCCTGCAGAAGGCACATTCTCCCCTCTCTATTCCTCCTCCACTTTGGTACTTAGATACGAGTTTTTTCTTGAATTCTATTGCATTTCTTTTTACCGCAGGGATGGCACTAGAAGCTTTCTTTGGTCCCATGGTGGCTTATTTAGCAGTTACAAGCACTAAAAACAACGGAATAATACAAAACATATTGCATGTACTCGTGGAATCGTCCTCCCTGGCTTCTAACAATGGCACACTAGCTGTACATGGAGTGGCCAGGCCCACTCAGGGCACTCGGACATGTTTGGGACAAGTGTCCTTGACCGAGCTTTTTTTCGGTAACCGAGTCAATATTTTGATGCAAAAACATGTTGCTATCCGATTTTTTCGTCATCCAATGAAATCGTTACCCTAGGGTCCACTGTACTAGTAGTCAAACCTCGGTTTTTGTATGTCCTAGTATGCAAAACTATAGTTATTCTGTATAAAATGTATTTTCTGTCAACATTTCTGGGTGTCTGGAATGGATTAATTGGATTTTCATTACTTCTTATTGGAAATATTACTTCAGTTTTCATACGATTCAGGTTTTTGTCAGACTTTTTCAAACGGATTAATCACGAAAACCGAGGTTCCACTGTACATAATTTTTCATGCCCTCAAATACTCCACCTAAAAATATTTTTGACTTCTGTCTCCAACAACCCCCTCATGCCTTTAAAAAATTTAAGACCAGACAATTCCACACAGTGCATCATGGGGTAACACTGCCTAACTGGAAAACTATCTGAAATTCTTGGAACTAAAAATTATCCAAAAACAAAGCAATCAAACTAACAAAATCAGATGAGCCCCTACTCACTCCAACTGAAACAGCAAACAGACTTAATGTCTTCTTCTCCACCATAGGAAAAAATCTAGCAAACAAAATACCAAGCACAAATGCCTGTCCATCAGACTACCTCATAGGAACCTACCCAAATATGCTATTCCTAGCTCCAACCAACCCCACTGAATTATGCTCATCATAAACACCCTTAAAAACAAGGCAGGAGACATAAACAATTTGCCTGCT